ACAGTTTAAATGTACCTATGATGAAAATGACAGACCTCTTTCATTATTTTAAGTGGGAGAACTTGCACAATCGGCAGGCTATTCTTGCCTGTAGTAAATAACTACTGTTCAATTGGAGCTACTACACCCATCAAAACTGGGGAAAACGTCTGTTGATTTTTAGTACATTTTTCCAATTTCCTTTTTGTTGCTGTGAAGGGGAAAACAATATTTTTCCCAAATTCTTGCCTGTAGTAGCTAGCTATTGTTCAAATGGAGCTACTACACCCATCAAAACTGGGGAAAACGTCTTTGTTGATTTTTAGTTAACGTTTCCAATTATATGTTTATTACTGTGAAGGGGAAAACCATATTTTTCCCAAATTCTTAACTGTAGTAGCTAGCTATTGTTCAAATGGAGCTACTACACCCATCAAATCTGGGAAAAACGTCTCTGTTGATTTTTAGTGAATTTTTCCAATTTCATTTTCGTTACTGTGAAGGGGAAAACAATATTTTTCCCAAAACTTTGGCTGTAGTAGCTAGCTATCATTGAATGGGAGCTACTACACCCATCAAATCTGGGGAAAACGTCTTTGTTGATTTTTAGTACATTTTTCCAATTTCATTTTCGTTACTGTGAAGGGGAAAACAATATTTTTCCCAAAACTTTGGCTGTAGTAGCTAGCTATCATCGAATGGGAGCTACTACACCCATCATAACTGGGAAAAAAGTCTTTGTTGATTTTGTATGAATTTTTCCAATTTCATTTTTGTTGCTATGAAGGGGAAAACCATATTTTTCCCAAGTTCTTGCCTGTAGTAGCTAGCTATTGTTCAAATGGAGCTACGACACCCATCAAAACTGGGGAAAACGTCTTTGTTGATTTTTAGTGAATTTTTCCAATTTCATTTTCGTTACTGTGAAGGGGAAAACAATATTTTTCCCAAAAGTTTGGCTGTAGTAGCTAGCTACCATTGAATGGGAGCTACTACACCCATCAAAACTGGGGAAAACGTCTTTGTTGATTTTTAGTGAATTTTTCCAATTTCATTTTTGTTGCTGTGAAGGGGAAACCAATATTTTTCCCAAAAGTTTGGCTGTAGTAGCTAGCTATTGTTCAAATGGATCTACTACACCCATCAAATCTGGGAAAAAAGTCTCTGTTGATTTTTAGTGAATTTTTCCAATTTCATTTTCGTTACTGTGAAGGGGAAAACAATATTTTTCCCAAAAGTTTGGCTGTAGTAGCTAGCTATCATTGAATGGGAGCTACTACACCCATCAAATCTGGGGAAAACGTCTTTGTTGATTTTTAGTACATTTTTCCAATTTCATTTTCGTTACTGTGAAGGGGAAAACAATATTTTTCCCAAAACTTTGGCTGTAGTAGCTAGCTATCATTGAATGGGAGCTACTACACCCATCATAACTGGGAAAAAAGTCTTTGTTGATTTTTTATGAATTTTTCCAATTTCATTTTTGTTGCTATGAAGGGGAAAACCATATTTTTCCCAAGTTCTTGCCTGTAGTAGCTAGCTATTGTTCAAATGGAGCTACTACACCCATCAAAACTGGGGAAAACGTCTTTGTTGATTTTTAGTGAATTTTTCCAATTTCATTTTCGTTACTGTGAAGGGGAAAACAATATTTTTCCCAAAAGTTTGGCTGTAGTAGCTAGCTATCATTGAATGGGAGCTACTACACCCATCAAATCTGGGGAAAACGTCTTTGTTGGATTTTTAGTACATTTTTCCAATTTCATTTTCGTTACTGTGAAGGGGAAAACAATATTTTTCCCAAAACTTTGGCTGTAGTAGCTAGCTATCATTGAATGGGAGCTACTACACCCATCAAAACTGGGGAAAACGTCTTTGTTGATTTTTAGTGAATTTTTCCAATTTCATTTTTGTTGCTGTGAAGGGGAAACCAATATTTTTCCCAAAAGTTTGGCTGTAGTAGCTAGCTATTGTTCAAATGGAGCTACTACACCCATCAAATCTGGGAAAAAAGTCATTGTTGATTTTTAGTTAACGTTTCCAATTATATGTTTGTTACTGTGAAGGGGAAACCCATATTTTTCCCAAATTCTTGCCTGTAGTAGCTAGCTATTGTTCAAATGGATCTACTACACCCATCAAATCTGGGAAAAAAGTCTCTGTTGATTTTTAGTGAATTTTTCCAATTTCATTTTTGTTACTGTGAAGGGGAAAACAATATTTTTCCCAAAAGTTTGGCTGTAGTAGCTAGCTATCATTGAATGGGAGCTACTACACCCATCAAATCTGGGGAAAACGTCTTTGTTGATTTTTAGTACATTTTTCCAATTTCATTTTCGTTACTGTGAAGGGGAAAACAATATTTTTCCCAAAACTTTGGCTGTAGTAGCTAGCTATCATTGAATGGGAGCTACTACACCCATCATAACTGGGAAAAAAGTCTTTGTTGATTTTGTATGAATTTTTCCAATTTCATTTTTGTTGCTATGAAGGGGAAAACCATATTTTTCCCAAGTTCTTGCCTGTAGTAGCTAGCTATTGTTCAAATGGAGCTACGACACCCATCAAAACTGGGGAAAACGTCTTTGTTGATTTTTAGTGAATTTTTCCAATTTCATTTTCGTTACTGTGAAGGGGAAAACAATATTTTTCCCAAAAGTTTGGCTGTAGTAGCTAGCTACCATTGAATGGGAGCTACTACACCCATCAAAACTGGGGAAAACGTCTTTGTTGATTTTTAGTGAATTTTTCCAATTTCATTTTTGTTGCTGTGAAGGGGAAACCAATATTTTTCCCAAAAGTTTGGCTGTAGTAGCTAGCTATTGTTCAAATGGAGCTACTACACCCCTCAAATCTGGGAAAAAAGTCATTGTTGATTTTTAGTTAACGTTTCCAATTATATGTTTGTTACTGTGAAGGGGAAAACCATATTTTTTCCAAATTCTTGCCTGTAGTAGCTAGCTATTGTTCAAATGGAGCTACTACACCCATCATAACTGGGAAAAAAGTCTTTGTTGATTTTTTATGAATTTTTCCAATTTCATTTTTGTTGCTATGAAGGGGAAAACCATATTTTTCCCAAGTTCTTGCCTGTAGTAGCTAGCTATTGTTCAAATGGAGCTACTACACCGATCAAAACTGGGGAAAACGTCTTTGTTGATTTTTAGTGAATTTTTCCAATTTCATTTTCGTTACTGTGAAGGGGAAAACAATATTTTTCCCAAAAGTTTGGCTGTAGTAGCTAGCTATCATTGAATGGGAGCTACTACACCCATCAAATCTGGGGAAAACGTCTTTGTTGATTTTTAGTACATTTTTCCAATTTCATTTTCGTTACTGTGAAGGGGAAAACAATATTTTTCCCAAAACTTTGGCTGTAGTAGCTAGCTATCATTGAATGGGAGCTACTACACCCATCAAAACTGGGGAAAACGCCTTTGTTGATTTTTAGTGAATTTTTCCAATTTCATTTTTGTTGCTGTGAAGGGGAAACCAATATTTTCCCAAAAGTTTGGCTGTAGTAGCTAGCTATTGTTCAAATGGAGCTACTACACCCATCAAATCTGGGAAAAAAGTCATTGTTGATTTTTAGTTAACGTTTCCAATTATATGTTTGTTACTGTGAAGGGGAAAACCATATTTTTCCCAAATTCTTGCCTGTAGTAGCTAGCTATTGTTCAAATGGATCTACTACACCCATCAAATCTGGGAAAAAAGTCTGTTGATTTTTAGTGAATTTTTCCAATTTCATTTTCGTTACTGTGAAGGGGAAAACAATATTTTTCCCAAAACTTTGGCTGTAGTAGCTAGCTATCATTGAATGGGAGCTACTACACCCATCATAACTGGGAAAAAAGTCTTTGTTGATTTTTTATGAATTTTTCCAATTTCATTTTTGTTGCTATGAAGGGGAAAACCATATTTTTCCCAAGTTCTTGCCTGTAGTATCTAGCTATTGTTCAAATGGAGCTGCTACACTCATCAAAACTGGGAAAAACTACTTTTTAAAAGCAGTTTTTATTGTATTCACCAACCCATCTGCAACGTTCTGTCAAATCTTGCACTTTGCAGACGGTCCCTTGGTGAGAGCTTATCACACGTAAGAGAGGAGACTTCATCTTCATTGTTTTTCGTGTTATAAATCGTCAGCTGCAGCCTAAGTAAAGTTTTTTTTATATAGGTGGCAACGTTGTGAACAGTATTTTTTACTCCAACTTGCCTCTCAGGTGCACACAGTATACTCAACGTCGCGACTTTCACCCGGTAATCAGTTATGACTCTGGGCCCATAACCTGTTAGCAGAGTCAATTTCCCAGCCCCTTCTACTTGGCATAAGACACAGCACACAACACGTCTTTTCTCTTTGTGCTGTGTTTCACCCACACCATATTTATTGATGCACGTGTTGCTCATCAGCAATCAGTCAGTCAGTCACATGATCAGCTTTGACACTGACGTTTAACTTGTTAACATAAACAATATTTTACATCAAATCATATCATAATGAGAGCATATCTCAACATTAGGTATCCAAGCTTTAATGAGTCAACGATACCGTGGAGCCAGCAGGGGGAGCAGCTGGTCCCGGGCACTGACCTGACTTCACTTTAATGTTTATGTTTAATTTCAGACTCATGTGTTTTTGTCATTTCAAATAAAACACAGTTTAATAAAACTAAAACACAGTTTAATAAAAAACTGTTTAATAAAACTAAAACACAGTTTAATAAAAAACAGTTTAATAAAACTAAAAAACAGTTTAATAAAACTAAAACACAGTTTAATAAAAAACAGTTTAATAAAACTAAAACACAGTTTAATAAAACACAGTCTAATAATGAATTAAATCTTTATGTGGCAGCAGCAGGACAAGGATATGACTGTTTATGGCTCTGAGCTGATAGCACTTATTAATGCGTGCTCCCAACACACACACACACACACACACACACACACACACACACACACACACACACACAGTCAGACTCTCCTCTCCCACGGAGACGCACGCGGAGGAGCTGATGCTGTTCCCCGGGAATGAGTCCTGGTCTGAGGCAGAGGAGAACCGCACCGGGGCTCTCGTGGCCCTTGGAGGTCCAGGGGCCCCTGACGGCCCGGGCCCCGAGGCCGTGGTGGTGCCCGTGCTGTTCGGGCTGATCTTCGCCCTGGGGCTGGTGGGGAACTGCCTGGTGCTGGCCGTGGTGGGCAGAGCCCGGTATGGGAGCGGGCCCGGTGTTCCGCGGGGGGTCTCCGCGGGACAAAGTCCCACAAACCTGTTCATCCTGAACCTGAGCGTCGCGGACCTGTGCTTCCTGCTGGTGTGCGTGCCCGTGCACGCCACCATCTACTCCCTGCCCCAGTGGCTGTTCGGGTCCTTCCTGTGCACGTTCGGACACTACGTGTTCACGGTGTGCATGCTGGTCAGCGTGTTCACGCTCAGCGCCATGTCCGTGGACCGGTACGTGGCCGTGGTGCTGTCGCGGAGGGCCGCGTGCGTGCGCAGCAGGAGGAACGCGCTGCTCGCGGTGGCGCTCACGTGGATCCTGGCGCTCGTTCTGTCCGTGCCCGTGGCTCAGCACCAGGTGGTCACCGGACACCCGCACGCGCCCAACAGCACGTTCTGCTGGGAGCGCTGGTACGGGCCGTCCCGGGCCGCGTACCGAGTGACCGTGGTGATGCTGGGGTATGTGCTGCCGCTGCTGCTGATCTGCGTGAGCTACAGTAAGGTGAGAGACCCGCACGCACTGCACATGCACGCGTATAACATGATAACTGCACGCGCAACACGAGTCAAACTCGTGGGTAAATTTGGCTGTGCGTAAAAGCGCATTACGCATGCGCTGATTCATCTGGTTCTGAGAGAATCTGTGGCCCACGTGACCCGTGTCTCTGGTTAATAACCTTAATCTTTGGTGTGTCCGTGTACCCTGCTGCTGTGAGGCCCTGGTTCCTGCTGCTGTGAGGCTCTGGTGCCTGCTGTACCCTGCTGCTGTGAGGCTCTGGTGCCTGCCCTGCTGCTGTGAGGCTCTGGTGCCTGCTGTACCCTGCTGCTGTGAGGCTCTGGTGCCTGCTGTACCCTGCTGCTGTGAGTTTCCATGAGCTCATGTCTCAGTCTGTGGTGAAAGTCCAGGAGCCGTGATTAAAGCAGAGATAAGTCATTGACCCACTCCCTGAACTGCGTCAGCAGAAAACACAAACAGGAAAATAATAAACACACACGGTCCTGGACTGTCCCAGGACTGTCCCTGAAACTTATGTGACATCACTTTTCCCGCCTTTTGCCTTTTTCAAAATGGCCGCTAGTCCACAGCAACTAAACTAGACTGGTCCAAAAACATATACTACCTTCAGACAGCATCTGGGACCAAGAGGACCAGGAACAACTTTTGGACCAAGACCCACTTTTGGACCATCCTGTAAAGAGAGTTTTGAGAGGAAAGAAGGCGCCATAAAAATTGGTAATTGCCAGGTACACCCCCACCGTCAAGGACTCAAATTACAAACACCCTTTTGAACTGGTTTGAACCTGTACATTTGAGGAAATGGGTGGAGTCTGCTGTGCTCCTGCTCAGGTTGGAACGAAAAACCTGCAGCCACACCTGCCCTTTCTGGAACCGTGGAACCGCTGTGAGGCCCCACAGTGAGAGAGGTATCCACTCCTGTGGACAGACAGGCTTTATAGATCCAGATGTGAGGCAAGAGCTTTGGTCTCTCTCTGGTCTCTCTCTGGTGTCTCGCTGGTCTCTCTCTGCTCTCTCTCTGGTCTCTCTCTCTGGTCTCTCTCTGGTCTCTCTCTGGTCTCTCTCTCTGGTCTCTCTCTGGTCTCTCTCTGGTGTCTCTCTGGTGTCTCTCTGGTCTCTCTCTCTGGTGTCTCGCTGGTCTCACTCTGCTCTCTCTCTGGTCTCTCTCTGGTGTCTCTCTGCTCTCTCTCTGGTCTCTCTCTGGTGTCTTTCTGCTCTCTCTCTGGTCTCTCTCTGGTCTCTCTGCTCTCTCTCTGGTCTCTCTCTGGTCTCTCTCTGCTCGCTCTCTGGTCTCTCTCTGGTCTCTCTCTCTGCTCTCTCTGCTCTCTCTCTCTCTGCTCTCTCTCTTGTCTCTTTGGTCTCTCTTCTGCAGTTGTGAGTTCAGATGGTAGAAAGGTGTGAGAGTAAAACACAGAGCTGTGACTTCGAGGACTTCAATGAGTGCTCTGATTGCAGACGCTGCTCCCTCTGTGTTTCAGGTTTTGTTCCATCTCCACAAAAAGATGAAGAACATGTCCAAGAAGTCAGAGCGCTCCAAGAAGAAGGTGAGTGAGAAACCCTTCAGTAGCAGTAGTAGTAGTAACCTCTGGTCTCTCTGATTTATGTCTTGCCTCTCTCTGGTCTCTCTCTCTGTTCTCTGTCTCTGGTCTTTCTCTGGTCTCTCTCTGGTCTTGCTCTGGTCTCTCTCTGGTCTCTCTCTCTGTTCTCTGTCTCTGGTCTTTCTCTGGTCTCTCTCTGGTCTTGCTCTGGTCTCTCTCTGGTCTTTCTCTGGTCTCTCTCTCTGGTCTCTCTCTGTTCTCTCTCTCTGGTCTCTCTCTCTCTGGTCTTTCTCTGGTCTCTCTCTGGTCTTTCTCTGGTCTCTCTCTCTCTCTCTGGTCTATCTCTGGTCTTTCTCTGGTCTCTCTCTCTGGTCTCTCTCTGGTCTTTCTCTCTGGTCTCTCTGTGGTCTCTCTCTGGTCTCTCTCTGATCTCTCTCTGATCTCTCTGGTCTCTCTCTGGTCTCTTTCTGGTCTCTCTCTGGTCACTCCCTGGTCTCTCTCTGGTCTCTTTCTGGTCTCTTTCTGGTCTCTCTCTGGTCTCTCTCTGGTCACTCCCTGGTCTCTCTCTGGTCTCTCTCTGGTCTCTCTCTGGTCTCTCTCTGGTCTCTTTCTGGTCTCTTTCTGGTCTCTCTCTGGTCTCTCTCTGGTCCCTCTCTGGTCTCCCTCTGGTCTCTCTCTCTGGTCTCTCTCTGGTCACTCCCTGGTCTCTCTCTGGTCTCTCTCTGGTCTCTCTCTGGTCTCTCTCTGGTCTCTCTCTGGTCTCTCTCTGGTCTCTTTCTGGTCTCTCTCTGGTCTCTCTCTGGTCTCCCTCTGGTCTCTCTCTCTGGTCTCTCTCTGGTCACTCCCTGGTCTCTCTCTGGTCTCTCTCTGGTCTCTCTGGTCCCTCCCTGGTCTCCCTCTGGTCTCTCTCTGGTCTCTCTCTGGTCTCCCTCTGGTCTCCTTCTGGTGTCTGACCGATGAATAATGACATAAATGACGACATGATATTAAGGGGGAAGTGCTCAGTCCTGAAGTTGACGAAAGACTGGTTCTTGGACTTTCCAGCATCAGTCATGTCTCTCACACGTGTGTACTCTCTCGTTCTGTCATGCTCTCTCTAAATATTTGGATCTCCCATTCGTCAGATCTATTTCAGTTTCGATCCAAACGTTCCGGACACTTCTGCTCTTCAGACTCTATAAACATTAAACTTATTCAATTATATCTTTCTGCGTTGTCTCAAAAGTCTTAAAACTGAGGTCTGTGACATTAAAGCTGGGGTCCGTAACTTTAAAGCTGAGGTATGTGACTTTAAAGCTGGGGTCTGTAACTTTAAAGCTGAGGTATGTGACTTTAAAGCTGGGGTCTGTAACTTTAAATATGGGGTCTGTGACTTTAAAGAGGCTAGGAGGCCAGTCCCTGTGCTCCTCAGAGTCCCAGCAGGAGTCCAGTCCCTGTGCTCCTCAGAGTCCCAGCAGGAGGCCAGTCCCTGTGCTCCTCAGAGTCCCAGCAGGAGGCCAGTCCCTGTGCTCCTCAGAGTCCCAGCAGGAGGCCAGTCCCTGTGCTCCTCAGAGTCCCAGCAGGAGACCAGTCCCTGTGCTCCTCAGAGTCCCAGCAGGAGACCAGTCCCTGTGCTCCTCAGAGTCCCAGCAGAAGACCAGTCCCTGTACTCCTCAGAGTCCCAGCAGGAGACCAGTCCCTGTGCTCCTCAAAGTCCCAGCAGGAGACCAGTCCCTGTACTCCTCAGAGTCCCAGCAGGAAGCCAGTCCCTGTGCTCCTCAGAGTACCAGCAGGAGACCAGTCCCTGTGCTCGTCAGAGTCCCAGCAGGAGACCAGTCCCTGTGCTCGTCAGAGTCCCAGCAGGAGACCAGTCCCTGTGCTCGTCAGAGTCCCAGCAGGAGACCAGTCCCTGTGCTCGTCAGAGTCCCAGCAGAAGGCCAGTCCCTGTGCTCCCCAGAGTTCCCTTGGCACTACCATGTCTGTTGTACCGTATTGTGGCTGTAGCTGTATCTCTGCGTACCATCCGTCAGTGAGGTCCAGGGACTCAGTCTGGGACAAATATTTAGGTCTGTCTCCAGAGGCCGCAGCTGCAGATAGACGACCCCTCTGCCAACGGAGCGGCAGGAACAGGCCGCCGTGCGTGGGAGCGGCGGCGGCGTGTTTAGCTTCAGCTCGAGTGGACGTTCAGTTCCATCTGTTTACAGACTGTAAACAGATGGGCAATGCTAACCCGATGCTCCGGCTATAGCTGGGACCAGGAAAACTAGAGAGGGACAGAGACCCTCATAGACTAGACCCACTGAGCCCAGACCAGACCCACTGAGGCCCGGGAACATCCTGCTGCTGTCAGTGACTGTATATAACTGGACTGGTCTTATCTTTGTTCAAACAGGAGTGTGTTTAGAGGAGGCTTCAGGCTCTGGACTAGAACGATATTGACCAGTCCTGAAAGCAGAGATAGTTCCAACGGACAGGGCAGAAACGGCAGGAGTAGTAAAAGTTGTAGTGTTAATAATAATAATAATAATAATGCATTGGTTTAATATAGCGCTTTTTTGGACACTCACAGACGCTTCACATGTGATTATTCATTCACTCCATACACAGTGGTGACAGACTACTGTAGCCACAGTTGCCCTGGGGCACACTGACAGAAGCGAGGCAACCAGTATGTGCCATTGGACCCCCTCCCTCCTCAGGCCAAAGACGGGAAAGAACCAACATCATTCTTTGACAGCAGCAGTGAAAATAGAAAGTAAAACTACAGCTGTGGTTTGGATGAAGGAGAAGAATCCTTCTCCGTTAGTGTAGCACTTGTAGCATTAGCCGTTGTTGTTTACATACCACCAAAATGAATTAGCCTTAGACAAGGAAACACAATAGTCGCCACAATGGAAGAACCAGTGTAGGCGGGTCTTGGTCGAAAACCATCAGCACGTGTGCTGACATACAGCAATACCACCCTGGACCTGTTGGGGGTGAACATGATTTTTGAGTTGAGTTCAGAGCAACAAGCTGTTTCTGGAACTGCTGTAGCCAAACCCTAACACCTGTGTTACAGACCTCACATTACACCTGTGTAACAGACCTCACATTAAACTTGTGTTACAGACCTCACATTACACCAGTGTTACAGACCTCACATTACACCTGTGTTACAGACCTCACATTACACCTGTGTATAGACTTCACATTACACCTGTGTAACAAACTTCACATTACACCTGTGTTACAGACCTCACATTACACCTGTGTTACAGACCTCACATTACACCTGTGTTACAGACCTCACATTACACCTGTGTCACAGACTTCACATTACACCTGTGTCACAGAACCTAACATTACACCTGTGTCACAGACCTCACATTACACCTGTGTCACAGACCTCACATGACACCTGTGTCACAGACCTCACATGACACCTGTGTCACAGACCTCACATTACACCTGTGTCACAGACCTCACATTACACCTGTGTCACAGACCTCACATGACACCTGTGTTACAGACCTCACATGACACCTGTGTTACAGACCTCACATGACACCTGTGTTATGCATGAGTGGATAGCACTCTCGCCTCTCAGCAAGAAGGTCCTGGGTTCGAATCCCGGTTGGACCAGGGCCTTTCTGAGTGGAGTTTGCATGTTCTCCCCGTGTCTGCGTAGGTTTCCTCCGGGTACTCCGGTTTCCCCTACCACTAAAAATATGTACAATAGATCTGGCATGCGCCTCCTATACTGGCGACCCCGCTCCCATCTCTGTGTGGAGCGAGAGGACAAATGCCCTAAAAATAACAATTGTAAACCGCTTTGAGACTCCGATGTGCAGTGAAAAGGCGGTGTATAAATTAAAGATTACTTACTTACTACTTACTTACTTATAGACCACACATTACACCTGTCTTACAGACCTCACATTACACCTGTGTCACAGACCTCACATTACACCTGTGTCCTCACATTACCCCTGTGTTACAGACCTCACATTACCCCTGTGTTACAGACCTCACATTACACCTGTGTTACAGACCCCACAATACACCTGTGTTACAGACCTCACATGCCACATGAGTTACAGACCTCACATTACACCTGTGTTACAGACCTCAAATTACACCTGTGTTACAGACCCCACAATACACCTGTGTTACAGACCTCACATGCCACATGTGTTACAGACCTCACATTACACCTATGTTAAGGACCTCACAATACACCTGTGTTACAGACCTCACATGACACCTGTGTTATAGACCTCACATTACACCTGTGTTACAGACCTCACATTACACCTGTGTCCTCACATTACCCCTGTGTTACAGACCTCACATTACACCTGTGTTACAGACCTCAAATTACACCTGTGTTACAGACCCCACAATACACCTGTGTTACAGACCTCACATGAGTTACAGACCTCACATTACACCTGTGTTAAGGACCTCACAATACACCTGTGTTACAGACCTCAAATTACACCTGTGTTACAGACCTCACATTACACCTGTGTCACAGACCTCACTTTACACCTGTGTCACAGACCTCACTTTACACCTGTGTTATAGAACTCACATTACAAGTGTGTTACAGACCCCACAATACACCTGTGTTACAGACCTCACATTACACCTGTTTTACAGACCTCACATTACTAATAGTCGCCACAATGGAAGAACCAGTGTAGGCGGGTCTTGATCGAAAACCATCAATACGTGTGCTGACATACAGCAATACCACCCTGGACCTGTGGGGGTGTACCCGGAAACATGATTACCCAATGCTTTTGTATGGCCTCTTTTATCTCGAAAACGGCTTTACAGGATGGTCCAAAAGTGGTTCTTGGTCCAAAAGTGGTTCTTGGTCCAAAAGTGGCTCTTGGTCCAAAAGTGGTTCTTTGTCCAAAAGTGGTTCTTTGTCCTCTTGGTTCCAGATGCTGTCTGAAGGAGGTTTTTGGGCCAGTGTAGTTTAGCCGCTGTGGACTTTTGAATGCACTTGATAAATGGGGCTGATGCAAATGCGATTTTTCAGATTTTCCTGTGGGAATGTTTGTGAACATTATGAACTGTTTTATTCTCTGATTTGTTGTTGGCAAATCAGAACTTTGTAAAGTGGTCCGACATGTTTAGGACGATATACAAAAACATACAATTTACAATAGAATACAATACAATTTACTCTTGTATAGCCCTAAAACACAACGGAAGTCATCTCAGAGACTTAACAAAACCATTGAAATCACAGATCAGAGAATCAACAGTTAACCCTTCAAGGTCTAAGCTCATTTTGGGGAACTTTCCTCGCCTGGTTTTCTTTGTGTATAATTGCTCATAAAACAGTCATCTTGTGATGCAGAGTCAAGCAGTAAACTTTGTTTTTTTCAGTACAACCTGTGGATTTATAATATTCATAGTGTACAGCTGTCATATGAATTATATAAAAAATATGGAATCATGAAGACAAAGAAAAAAATGAAACGGAAATTCAATTTCACCAAAATGTTTTGAAAAACACAATGAAATGCTATTGCTAACTTTTTACACTGTATAGAAATGTTATTTAGGGTCTTGGGGTTGATGGGGAAAAAAATTGAACCTGTGACTATTATAATTTTTACAAAATTCCACTACAAGTGAAAAAAACGCTGTACTCCTGATGCCCTTCCTGAAGCAGTTTGTCTATGTCTATATATTGCTTCAGTATCACAGCTGTAAGATATGTAAAACAAAAAAAACTAAGAAAACAAAGAAAGAAAAACAACATCTTATATTCATATACATCATATCATTATAATGTATTTATCAATGTCAATAATAAATATATAATATAATTACATCAATAATGCGCACTCTTCAGGCAGGTGCTGGCTCTTGTGAGCGCTGCATCTGCGTCTCCTCCTATCTTTGTGTAATGCACTTTCAAGCCCAGACTCTGAACACACACATCACTCGTAGATCACGTAGATCAGTGATACAAAGCTACATTAGCTGTGTCGGGGACGCATTTTCGTAACATTCCGCTAAAATAATGCGTCTTTTACGCATCAGTAATTGCAATCGCAGCTGTAATTTCAACTATGGGACAATAAATACACACAGGAGAGTGAATCATCCTACTCTCTGACAATCTTTGGCAGTCCCTGTGTCAGCGTGTAAGCAAAATAACTTTACTGTTTTGGCTGTTTTACCTCACGGGAGACCGCTCGAAGATCCGATTGGACACCAACTTTCAAACACACGTAGAAAATTCCCCAAAAGTCACACAGACAAAACAACTAGCGCTGTAATGCCTGAAATGTGTACTTCACGGAGAAAAAAAAAGTAAGTCGCTACGTTTTGCCGTTCATGAGAAAATTGAACATTTATAAAACATGTGCGCAGGAGTCGGATCCGACGCTCTAGACCCCAGAGGGTTAACACACATGAAGGATATACAGTAGAACACATGATAAATGTCATACATATTGAATGTTGTGTTACATTTGTCTTTAATAACATGATTTTTGAGTTGAGTTCAGAGCAACAAGCTGTTTCTGGAACTGCTGTAGCCAAACCCTAACACCTGTGTTACAGACCTCACATTACACCTGTGTTACGGACCTCACATTACACCTGTGTGACAGACCCCACATTACACCTGTGTTACAGACCTCACATTACACCTGTGTTACAGACCCCACATTACACCTGTGTTACAGACCTGACATTACACCTGTTTTACAGACCTCACTTTACACCTGTGTTACAGACCTCACATTACACCTGTGTTACAGACCTCACATGACACCTGTGTTACAGACCCCACATTACACCTGTGTTACAGACCTCACATGACACCTGTGTTACAGACCTCACATGACACCTGTGTTACAGACCTCACATGACACCTGTGTTACAGACCTCACATTACACCTGTGTTACAGACCTCACATTACCCCTGTGTTACAAACCTCACATTACACCTGTGTTACAGACCTCACATTACACCTGTGTTACAGACCTCACATTACACCTGTGTTACAGACCCCACATTACACCTGTGTTACAGACCTCACATTACACCTGTGTTACAGACTTCACATTACACCTGTGTAACAAACTTCACATTACACCTGTGTTACAGACCTCACATTACACCTGTGTTACAGACCTCACATTACACCTG